ATGGAGCTGAAATGAGTGCTTTTCATAAGAATTATTACTGTCAATAAACTCTTTTAACTGGTTTTAACATGTGGTATTAACTCATGTACAACCAGCCTCATCAGGGGCCACTTGTGGTATTTTAGTATGTGTATGCTAAAATATATACTTTTAAATAGGTCTTTTTTCCTACACTCAATAGATCAGCCTAAACCCCTTCGGTCTGTAGAATAACTTGGCTGTTATGGGTTATTTTTGTGTTATTCATGAATAACTGTAACTTAATTAATTATCGGGCCAATATTCCAGTATCAGTCCGCACACGTCATGACATCTTTAAAAAATCCAATCCTTATTATAAACAATAGTGATCACAAAAATCCCTGGCCCTTGTCTGTTTTGGAGAAGTACTTCCTTTAAAATATATAACTCAGTCTTTCCCAAACTTTTTTTTCTGGGAACCCATATTTTAAAAGTCACAAACCATCGTGACCCAAGTCAATAAACATTATTAGTAAATCACAAAATAACTGTGGATTTGACCATTATTGAACATTAATGAGGATATTTTATTGTTGACTGAGTGATCGTGTCTCTCTGAACAATTAGTACTACTCAAGTTTAAAACAATGAAAAACAGTAACTGAATCAGCAATAAAAGGATCCATAAGTCACCTATTTGGCCATTAAATGTAGCTCATTTCTTTTTCTTTTCAACATTCAACTGAACCAGCAATACTGGAACAAAATAGTCAATAAAACAATTACAAAAAGATTAGAAATTATACAAAACATGTCTTAACATTTCAGTATTTCTAATGAGATAGGTGGCTGTCTGTGTTTCTGTAGCGTGTGCAGGAGAAAAGTGCAACAGCAGATCGGTGTCAGAAATGTGGATTACAGACCTACATGCAGATCGTGACAAGGCGACCCAAAAAAAATCTCTTGCGAACCACCTGAGGGTTGCGACCCAGTCTTTGGGAAACAATGATATAACTTATCTCTCTTGTGTTGGTTAATGTTTCCTTCCTAAACATAAACTACTGATGGCTCATACACTGTAATTGCCATTGCCATTTTAGTGGCACACAACATTATCCACAATGGCCTATTTACACTCTATGACCCTATTAGATATTAAATTACTTACATCAATACAAACATGTCTGGATTTGCTCCGTTATTTCTTTGATTACCACAGCACACACATCGTACTCTATTAGTGCCTATTATAGGAATAGAGCAGTTGGCAGATATTTTTTCGTGTAACAGCTTTTATTGCTATGGAAATTTTCTTTATTATACTTTATTATACAAAGTGCTGCCCTGTAGTAAGTAGTTAGTTAGCTATTGCACATCATATAATTTAGGGGAAATTATCTAAACTGTCACTATATATTACCCATTGGCCATTTGCCGGTTTAGTAGGGCTGCACAATGAGTAGTCAACATAGTCAAACTAAATGTATTTCAATTATCAAATCGCAAAAATATTTGAAAAATCTGCCTTTTTATCATCTTTAATCTTGCGGTACCACTGATTTAGACCACTGCAAACATATTCTGAAATATATGGGATTCTTGTATTAGTTTGTCAGTTCATATTTCCGTATTTTCTTAAATCACAAATTACTGCTTTCATTTAGGAGTTGTAAAATGCACACTCTGAGCAGAATCCAAGTTCCAGCCTATTTTCCAATCTAACTGATGTTGCAATTACAATTTCAATTTCCAAAATCATGCAGCCCTACACTCAAAAACATTGGTATCTGAATCAACCATAGAAAACCCCATACTGGTCAATCTCAAGCATATCAAGACAGCACTATTGCAATGAGAGAATGACTGAATAGTAGGGCTGGGAGTCGCCGAGTCTTTCACGATCATAAAACACAATACATGTATCAGGGTATCTGGGTTTTCACGATATGGTAATACATGTGATAATCCATATATTTCACATGATTCTCTGTGATATATTGCTGTTTTTTAAGAACCAAATGCATTTAAGAAACAATATTTCTCTGTTAAACCACTACTTGTGCAAAGTTAATATGAAATTAATCTAATTTAATCATCAAAAAAGTGAATATGTCAAGTTTATTGCATAAACAAGTTCCCTTCAACTAAATAAGCAGGCAAGCAATGTAGTGCAATTACAGAAAAAAGATGCTAAAAAATACACAAGAAGATACCCCCTGGCCAGGGGTGCTCAATACTTCGATCGCGATTTACCAGTCGATCGCCAAGGTCGTGTGGGTAGTTCGCCGTGTCTCGTCTCGGACTCGCGTTTGGACTCGGTCTTGTCTGTCACTCAAGGTCTGACACTCAACAAGTGCGATCATATTTCATTACGGCCGCTGCTGTTGGCAATAAACTTGTAGTGGGGTGCAGGAGCGTGTGGGGCGTCTCAGTGCAGCCCGCGGAGACTCTACGGCACATCACAAACACACACGCTCCCTATGCACGGCTCGTCTGCAACAGCGTGTGCCCTCGTGTACCAGCGTGCATCACAGGGCAGGTTAAACTTCCTAAACATCCTACCTGTCCATCTGCCTCACGTCAGCAGGCCGCCCCCGGCCTTCTTACGCTCTCGCTCCTTCCTGCGTACAGCGAACACAAGCCCCTCCCACAGTGCGCGCTGATTAGAAGAGCAAGACCAAATGTGAAGCAAAAACGAGACTAAATTTGTGTTACAGTGTTGACACAAAGCAGGCCTACAGCATAGAGCGGATCTACAGAACAGGCCTACTGCGACATTTGGCTGAAGTTCGCCTAACAAAAGTGCACAAATGCATCTGCCACGATGTGCGTTTGGTTTGGTAAACGTGCAGAGGCTGGTAAATAAAGAATGCAACTCCAGTTTGGAACTTTAAAAAACAGGTTTAAAAATCTTCCTTCACTTTTTTCACAGTTTTGTGTAAAGTGCCAGAGGAAGTTCTCTTAAAGAAGGGCTTCTCAAACTGTGGGTGATGGTCCAAAAAAGGGGCACAGAGTGTTTCAGTGCAGTTTGCTTGGCTTTATTAGGTAGATCTTTATGACTTATTCATTTTGTAAGTAGCTCGCATGCTGAAAAAGCGTGAGCACCCCTGCTCTTGGCAATATATATTGATACAGCTATCCATAACAATACTGTAACACCAAATTCAGTCTCACAATTTATATTGACATTTCAATATTTTTGCACACCCTCATCAAATAGGGTGAAAGAGATAAGTGCTTTTATAAAAAAATGTTCTGAGAATCCACTACATCCATCCGACACAATATTACACTCACCTATGATTACTGTAATCCAGTAGCAGCCTGTGAAGTGATTATGTGAGCGTGCATGCACCTTAATGCAAAACGCCAGTCCAAGCACTCATATGGCATGGCTAGAGTGAGATGAGCCTGTAAAAATGATTAGGGGACATAGCAGAGGCTTTTATATTCAACAGAAATATCATTGCTAGGTGAGCTAGGGATAAATGGACAAGAGAAATAAATGGTAGTATGAATGGTATAAGCAAAATAGAGTAGTCTCAATAAAAGGTTCATTTCAGCAGCTACATTATGTTCTCCAGTCACCCATATCCTTGTCTTTCACACAAACCACCTTCACTATACTTCCCCTCCACCTCCTGTTTCCTGGCAGCTCTAATCTCACTCAGCATCCCTCTACCCAGCTATATACAATGCACTGTATACCACTGAATATGTTTTAATAACGCACAATACTTAAACACAGTGGCTCTCATACATCTCACACCAAGTACCATATTCAAGATTTGGTTTTCTGAGCACCACCAGATCTAAATCAAGTATATGCTGGGATGTTTCCAGGTGTAAACTAGGGCTAAACCAGGTCTTAAAAGAGACTGCACCATTATCACTATAGTTCTGAACAATAAACTATCCGAAGGAGGAAAAAAATGAATAAGATTTACTGTAAATTACGCAGATATTGAGGAGCTGTCCAAGTAATACCTGAAGGAGCTTGCATACCATCAGTGGTACAGGTACAGTTTGAGAAACACTGCTTTAAGATAATGTGAACCAGTACAAAACTCTGCTATGTTCTACTGTACAGAAGCATCATAGCCTTTAAATGTATATAATTCTTTTGTATTATATTTTTACTCGACAATATTGTAGATTTAAGTATAGCTTTTGATTTTTAATAGTTATTTCTTATTTTTCATTGCATTTCTTTGCTCCTGCATTGCAATATGGGAACTTTTCCATTGTGGGAAAATACTCATTCTGTAACGTAACTATTCTTATAGAAAACAAAACGAAAACCAGTACACCATTCTAGGACAAGCCCCAGCAAACATCCACCTGCGACTGTTTGAACTATTCCCATGAATCTGGCAGGACATGACTTTGTTGCTCTTTCGTCTCTCATCAGGGGGCATAACAAACACCCACAATCTCTCTAAAGCCAAAAATATTGTCAGAGATTTTCACACACCCAACATACTCCTTCTGATTGCTGCTGTAGGTCGCTCAGACACGCTCCAACAGACATAATTAAGAAAATCACATGCAGTCTATAATGGTTCACTGTTATGATGTGCATAACTTAATGAGGTTCAATTTGGGCACGAGTATTTGTAACAGTATTAAAAAAACATATGAAATGCATAGGAATGTAAATGCCTGTGACTTCTTAAACTTGGAGTAACCTCTTTCCTTTAATTCAAATAATAAGTAGCAACATTATATGAATAATACAGAATAAGAGCTGTGTACTCTGGCAATACTACAAAATATCACACTGACCTTAAGTTATTTCACTATATGCAATCTAAATCTACAAAATCAGCACGCCAGAGTAAAGCACAGCAAATTAGATAATAAAAGCTGGACATGTGTTGGGTCATTTGATAAGGAGCATTTTAAAAAGGAGCTACGGTGATGGGGACACCACATCTGACACCTTTATACACGCTCAAGTCCGCAGTCCCGTGCACGCACTGAACCATGCGGTAATTGTGATAGTGTAGAGCCAGAAGTTGCAGCCAGTGCGTACTCACGTGCCCAGGACTTCTTTAAAATCAAATATCTTCTTTATGTCGTCGACTTGTTTCTTCCACGTCTCCCCTCTACCGATATCTCCGTTCTCCCGAGCCATGGCGCGAGGAGGCGGCGGAGGAAGGTGAAGGGATGCCGGTGAGAGAGCGCAAGGGCACCAGCGGTAGACACACACACACACAAGCGCGCAGACAGACAGGAGCGGTGTGTGTCCGTGAATGAACAGCGGAGGAGTGGAGGAGAGCCGCAGCAGCACCACGAGAAGCTCCTCCCGCGGTTACAGCCACGCTCTCCCGCCTCTCTCCTTTCTGGCACGCCCCCAGGTACCTCCACTGCGTAAATGCCATCAAAATTACGCACAGAAATATGGTTGGTTCCTGTCAGGGTTGTTTTACCAAATGTCAAATTTGCATGTGACTAAGTCAGAATTAATTAATTTAGTTGTGTTTTTGTCCGCAGACGCTGCATAAATAGCTGCAATATGTTTTATTAAGTTACTCCTTAATAAAATCCCTGTAAAAAAGCTTGCTATTACCTGTCAGTCTTAATGCTAACACAAATAGCCTAATAAAAATAGGAATTCAGAACAATTAGCTATTTCACAACCCGGACAAATAGGGTTAACCTAAAACAATCACTTTTTACATTTTCAAGTTGTATCCCTTAGAAAATGTATTTATATTGCCCCACAATATGAACAGCATTAATTTGTTAGTCAAGAAAACTCCACTTAAGCTGTAACTACAAACTAAAAAATTAATAATTGAGAATTGATGATGAATGATTGTTATGTTTAGCTAGTTTATTTTGAAAGGCAATCCATGGACTTCCCTCTTCACTTTGTATGCAGCAACTTAACCAAGACCTGCTGCCACCTGCGCTACAACCAACACAGTTAATTGGCGCTAGTTGGTTTGCCTTGATTTCTCATTGTTTCACGTAATTGAGAACGGGCTTAATTTATTTACCACATTAAGCCCTTGACTTTGCACATTTACCAGGTAGATCAATGTGACAAGCGTTTAAGCTCCTCGCTGCTGTTGTCCGGACAGAGGTGTGGACAGTCTATCCCTGTTTGGGACGAGGCGACCGTAAATTCGCACTGCGCCACGGCGATGACAACAGAGGGGACAGGCTTCAGAGGTGACCCGGAGCAGAGGCATGTGTTCCAGGTTTAAAGGCCGCATAACCCCTGGATTATACCGGAACAGCTGCGTTGAAAGGCCAGGACAGAGCAATGGAAAAGCCCTTGAAAACATAGCCATAAACAAAACATAAACCTGCATGGGTAGAAAGTGTGCAGGATATACACGATTAAAATGTCTCAAATTGTGGTAGACGATGGGATAATAGACGAATTCCAACTTTTCTTGTTTACAATTTCTAAAATCGCAGCCTACTGGTCCAAGAAAATGCATTTTAATTATCTATATGTTATCCTTTTATATGGTCTCCCCACCACCTTACACTACACATATGGATTATTCATAACATTATCATAAAATAAGGGGGGAAACAATATAGTGTCATGTTTATGTTGTTTTCCAATATTTTTCCACTGCAGTCTTTGTGAGCACAATTCTGGCATACCTATAACCTAACCTGCTGTGAGCACGTAATCTCTACAAGCCTCATTTCCACATTTTAGCACTGCCTTCCCCTTTCCCTATCTCCTCTATTAGTCCCAGACATTGAGGTAAAGGAGAGATAGTGTAGTGCACGTCTGTTGCAGCCTGAAAAACTCATGAGTATTCTGTCTGCAAACTACTGCAGGGAAACTCCACTCCATTTCTCTCCCTCACTCCCTCCTCTCCCCTATCCGCTCCCTCTATGCCTGAGTCAGCACATTTGACCTACCGCTTATAAAGATGATTAAAAAGAGAGAGGGGGTGGAAAAAGAGAGAGAGAGAGACACACACACAAACACACACACACAGAAAGAGAGAGAGAGAGAGAAAGCAGAGCAAAGCAAAGCAAGCCATAAAATTACATCTGAAGGTCAATTTAGGTGTTGGATTTGCAGGGTGTTGGTAAAGTCTTTGTTGAGAGCAGAGTGACAGGTGGAGGAGGTGGAGCCAAAATAAAGAAGATATTATAAAATATTATGACCTTGTAAATGCATTTAAACATTATTGTTTTGTTATTATGGTCAAAAGGCAACAGAGCAAAGAGGACAAGCTGATAATTTGTTAAGGGGATAATTTCTGTATCAAGATCATAAGATAAGTGTTAAGGGCATGCATAATGGAAAACATAGCAGAGGCAAATGTGTTTAAAATGTATATTGTAAAAAATATAATAAATGATAATTAAATTATCAAGTATATTTTTAATTAAGAATTACTACTGTTATTGAAAAAAATAGTAATAGTAGTGTGTAAATGCAACAGCTTGATTTAGGAATTTAAATGCATTTAGATGCTACTCAGGTGAAAGTACTGCAAGTAAATAAATAGACTTTAATGGTAAAATACAAGTACAATGTATGGTGTGACAGCGCTATCTCATATGGGTGATTTCTTCAAAGTTATGTTGTGTCTTACACAACATACTTTGATTACTTACATAATGGTCTGGGAATTGAAACAGGAAACCAATTTGTGAAGTACAGAATGATTTGCGATGCGATCATATAGCTAATTACTGCTGAACTGCGCTGAATTTTCCTCTGGCATTATTTGTTGAAGCCATTACAGCACATGGATCATACTGTCCCCAAACTACTTTGAGTTTTTATTGCCCATAACAGAAAATTGCAGTCTGCAAACTGTATTGCCTTTCAATATTTGATAACCTTCAGCTTGCATTTAGCTTTTTATGACACATGGGTCACTGTAGGATGCCTTATCCAGGTCTGAAAGATGAAGGCCCAAACATCATTTTGTAATTTCAAAATAGTATTTAATATTCAGCAGTGCCTCGAAGTGACTTGTTTAGGTTTTTTCCATTTGCTTCATTTCAAAGTGGGAGCCATAACTTCCCCCAACACAGCGGTTCCTTCCATCCCTCCATAATTGCTCTCTCGCTCTACTGAAAGGAAGAAAAATATAAAGTAATAAAGAGCAATGCCATTTAGCTCCTAGCCTAATGAGAAGTGTTACGCAAAGGCACAATCAATTTCTAATGTGCTAGTTTACAGCCCCCGACAGAAAGGCAGCAGTCGATACAGGCACAGCAAGTTTAATAATCAGTCTACAGTCTACAGTGTTGCATTATGGGAAAATAAGACCGCAGCTCGAAGAGCAATGAGTATGTCAGAACCACTCGGAGGAAATTGGTAGAGAAAGATGGGGTAGCACTGAGGCTCTTGAAATATTAACAAGATTTGTGGTAAGTAAGGAAGTCAAAAACATGGATCAATTACAGTAGTTGGGATTTGCAGTTTTGATTTAGACTTAGTTACAAAATAATAAGAAGATAGTAAAAAAGAAAGTAATTTTACAGTTAAGGGGACTGACATCAACAAACTCATAGAAAAGGCAATGAACAAAAAACAAATGTTCCAATAGAAATTACATGATGTGATACACTAAACTAACACAAGAGTAGTTCGATAAATAGTAGATCTTGCATTAGCATATTATGGGGCATATGGGTGAAGTTAATATTAGATGAGATTTTGATTCAATGTGGTGCACTCTCGTCTTGAGCACTCTCGTCTTCCTCGTCCTCTGACTCTTCCTGTTGGCTTTTTGTCTGCAGAGAAACATGAAACAAGTCAACAGGTGTGTCACTACTTTTGGTGAATATATTTTGGCAAATAAAAGCCCTGCTTGTTTCTGTGGAGTTGTTATTGCTTCACTTGGTTGGAATGTTCCACAGTATGGCATTAAGTATTCATCTCCATAAGCAGGTGAAACCACCAGGGCTGACCTGAGAATTGACCCCACTGACAGTAAGAATGCATGTATTTCAAGGGATGTTTGAGCCGTAAACACAATAGTAAATACATAAATACTAGATAAATTCAATGCCTTATTGTTGAACATTTCAGGCAAAGTGATAACATCTCCATGGAAACAAGCAGGTGGCAGACAATCTGGCAGAAAAGATGCATAATGAACATTTAAGCACAAGCCAGATTTTTGTAAGTCAACTGAAAAGACAATTATGTTTAGGTTGCAAATTGATTTTTACCAGTTTAAGGAAGTCGATGAGTTTGTATGCGTCTTCTCCAGTTGAGAGGTCCACAAAGTCCCGAGGGATCCTGTAGCTGAGACAGGGGCTGGGCTGAACTGTCACTTCACTGGTGGTGTACCGAAAAGCAGGGCCCTCCTTCAGATACAACACAGTAAACTTACACATAGATTTTGGTGCTTATAAAATCTTTGACACCAACAAATGTATTTGCCTTTCCAAAGAGAGAACTAAACTTGACCAAAAGAACCATAATTTAACCAAAACAACCAAAACAAAATAACAATGGGGAAAATCAGGTCTAAACTAGTTTTAAACCTGACTAAGATAAGATAAACCTTTATTTGTCCCACAATTAGGCAATTATAGTGTTGCAACACAAAGATCAAGAACAGCAAGAAAATGCAATTAAAAGCAATGTAATTGTAATTAATTAGACTATAAAGATTTAGAACATACAAAAACACAACACTGTTTATACTTTAATATTATATTATTTGTACAATAAGTGGTTATTAACTACGGATTATCTACCATACAGCATATATACAGATTAAACAGTTAAAGGTTGTATGGAGGATTTTTTTTTGTTTCAAGTTGTCAATGATAGCATTATAGAGGTGCAGTAGCCTTGTAATTATGATGACCAAAAAAAAGAGAATAAAAATTCATCAACTCTGGACGTGGTGGGGCCAGCTAAACATTTGCCAATAGATAACGACACTGCCTCGTTATCTGTTAGCTGACAGGCTGTCAATCAATCTCCCTACGTTTCTAGCGTAACTGACTTGCCTGCGCGCCGCCGGTACGTGGTTTACGTACGCCTGTCACGCAGTCCACAGACGCAAGATGCACAGACGCTGTTTACTCCACCAACGCAACAGTTCTTAGCGGCTTTTTTTTACCTATATCTTCCTCGCAGTTAGCACAAAGTTTGTTGCAATGGCAGACAAGAATCCAGGAGCAGTTAGCCGCAAAAGAAAGTCCGTTTTTGAGATCGCTGAAAGAAGAAGACAAGGGGAAAAGCAGCGAAGCCAAACTAAGGTGATTCTTATAGATTCATTCCAGCGATGG